AAAGATGAATGTTAAAGGTTTTAAAATTCTTTTTGCATGAAATGATAATATCATGAAGGAGGTCAAGATATAGGATTTCTTTGGATGATTCTTTGCATTGTTACATGACACCTCTTGAGTCTGTCTCAAAGGACCTATCACATAGTTTGAGCTAGATGAAATGATTTATATTCTATTTGCTTGGCAAATGAATCCATCATTTATGTAATATCATGAGATACAAAATTGAATACATGGTTAAGTGACTAGATGACTGTGAGAGCATTTTAAGAGTACTTAAGCAGAGCTAAGAGAATGTATATGAAATAATTAGTTTAGAATAAAATCGTAATGTAAAGAGCTACATAGGATTTTGATTTCTAAATAAATATAGATTAATATGAATTATAATTGGATTATATCTTCATTATATGGAATGAAGAGTAATTTTTAGTTGGAATGAGATCCAAGCAAAAAAAAAAAAATAGCACAATCTACTAAATAAGAATACACTACTTTTCAGAAGTTGAAATCAAATATAATTGGATGAACTAGATCATTGAAAAACTAGGTTGAACCATTCCATTCAGGGATAATCTAGAAATCTTTTGTGAGTAATATAGTGTAATTAATCAAGCTAAGAAACTCTATGTCACATAAGAGCACCAATTATATTCTCCAAGACATTTAACTCTACCTAGAGAAGAACTCAAATGTGGAGATATAGTAGTCGTGAAATTCACACAAATTAAATTTCGTCAAACCTATTAATAAAGTCTTTCCTTTTAAGCTAAGTATGAGTGGCCACACTTAAGACATAAGACTTTTATTATTCTCGAAATGTGATTTTGATTTGAATTTAGTATTTGGATATTGGACATTGTAATAACAACTATTAAATAATGTTTTGATATACTAGGATATGATCATTACATTATATCTTTATGTGTTTTTGTGTTCTATATTAACATGTTTAATCCATGAATAATCTTATTATTTTAAAGGTTCATAGTCGGTCATAATTGTGGGAACAATTATGAAGTAAGACTAATATGAAATGGATTGGTTGACTCTCACTAGATGAAAGTAGGCAAGTGGTTGTAACCAAGTTTCATAGGTACTTGTTAGAGAACTAGTATTGAACGGACCCGCATCAAGATCAACTCATAGATCGCATTCGTGAGTGACACTTTATTAGAGGGTATTATCTTTGTATCCTTAATACCTGAGACACATAGTTGGACTTAAGTATAATGAGTACTGTGGTTTGATATGGTCAAATGTTGTTCCTTGAACGGGCAATTATAAATGTCATATTCGGGTATGGTGTGAACTATACAAGAGGCTTATGTAGCCAATATGGGATTTGTTCCTCTTATGTGTTTAGAGTCAGACATCTAACGTGCGTTATCCATAGTTGAATTATAAATGAGATTGATTGCGATCCAAGGCTCATGTTCAACAGGATGTAGTCAATATGGGATTATTGTTCCTCTTATGTGTTAATATATGATATGCAAACCAAGTATGGTTATATATGTGCTAAGATATATATATGTATATATATATATATATATATATATATATATAATTTTATGATAATAATGAAAATTTTATTAGAAAAAGTGTATTAATGCATAAAGCACTCTGTGTCAAACAAAAAACTCTAAGGTAGAGTAGTGTTATCTAAAACAGAGTAAGTACTAGGAGTTGAGTATTGTAGTCTTACCAATAGATAATATAAGACTTGTGAAGGAGGCTTAAGTTTAATTAAGTAGGAATATTTTATACCATCTTCTTAAGAGTCTGTGAGAGGTGTGAAGGGGGGGGGGTAGAGTTCTTACTTTGATAATCCAAGAGTATAGATTACGATAATCATTCATTCCTAATCTAAGAGTGTAGAATAGGTATAGTACCCCCAACTACTCGACAATGCCTCGTATATAAGCTAAATTTCACTCAACCCTACAAAGAAATGTGCATCATAAAAATGTAGAGGAAAATCAGATTTTTTAGCTAAAATAATGTAAAGGAGAATTGTAGTACTCAGGCATACAAATCTGTGGACATAAAGAAAGTTGAGAATGGAGTTCATATGTGAGAGTTGTGATTTTTGCTAAATCATATAATGTGCAACCCCTTAGAAAAATATAAATTAAAAATAGAATGCAAATTAGCGACTAAAGTCTAACGGAAAGTTGTAGTACTCATCAAGATGAACTAGATGATATAAGGAATATCGAAAATGGAGCTTATATGCAAGACTTACGCATTTTTAAAGATTGTGAAAATACATGCTAGGAATAGGGGCAAACTGGGAAACATGACAACACCATAGGAACCCTTGCTCCTTACGCCTGCACACGTAGCACACAAATGGCCATGATGTGGTAGCACCAAAGGTAGCCTTGCTCCTTACGCATGAACCACAATGTGGAACACACATAGCCACGACGTGGCAAATCGAAAATCAGCCGATAAATAACAATCGAGGCTTAGACGTTTGAGCACACCAAATCAGTTCTCAAACTGATTTCTCTTCCTTCTTTTCCTTTGGAGTTTCCTTCCTTGAATCACGAGCGATCTCAAGCTTCTGACCACTTTCAGCGAGAACTATCTTGATTTAAAGCAGGCTACTAGGGTGAGTTTACGACCCTATTTTAAAACTTTTTATTGTTTCCGGGGGAGAACACATGCATGAACTATTTATAAACTGTTATATATACTAATATTTGTACAAATTACTATCTAAAACACTGTTGAACCTACGTTTACAAAGCAAACACAGGTTGGTAATACTTTCAAACCTCTAGCAATCAAATAAATGCAGTAGGGTTGTACTATCGAACCTCTAGGTTATATTATCGAAACTCTACCTAAATAACTTTGACATTTAAGGTTAAGGCACAAGAACTACAAAACATTTCTGGTTCATGTGAGCAACAGTTATTGAACTATGTTTCCATTACTTAGAAAGACATATGGCTTATAATCGTTAATCATGGAGAGCGAGAATATTATCTATAGATCTATACGGGTTGACACACCCACATGTGTTTGCTAGCTACAACCTAGACCGTCGAGTCTAAGCAGATGATAATTTTCTATAAAACTATGGTGTCTGATTAAGCATCGGGAGGGGTATTTCATTTCGTCAGGAGCTCGGTTATAGGACGTCACAGTAAACCTAAAATACATTATCAGCTAGGAAACTACCTATATACATACAAAGTATACTTTCCGGTATCGAAAAGTACATATCAAATACATAACATACATACTTTTGATGTAAAAGTACATTTTGATTCATATATTACAAACCTGTGAATTCACCAACTTTAAAGTTAACACTCTTTCAAAATCACATTTACTTTCAGAAAACTAAGCAGTTGGAAGAACTATACTCAGAACAGTCATGGGATTACATTCTTTTTTTAGTACTTTCATTTTAACCTACTGTTTAGGTCTTTGAGTATTATCTCAAACTTTAAGTATCATCTCAAACTTTCCTGTACTCTCAATATTTATGTACCCTAGAGCAAGGTATATTGTAATCTACTCTTTTAAATTAAATAAAAGTATCTATTTCCTTTCGTATTGTTGTATTGTTCAACATATGCTTGATACTGTGATCCATGATGTCGTCTGACCGCCTGATGTTTCCGTTGCCAACTGGGGATGTGACAAGCATATAGGTGATTCAACGGTTTGTTAATGATGACTACTTTCATGATGGGTTCAATTTCAAGATGTTTATTATTGGGATTACTTTCAAACTTGAGGTTGTTTTTGTTCTTTAAAGCATGTTCCGTATTGTTTTATATCCCAAGACTCGGATATGAAGACTACTATAAATTCTTGTTATTGGTCCACTTCACCATTGGTTCTCTCTGTGATGTCACATTTGGACTTCGCATCTGCTAGTTTTCTGTTCGGATCTTATAGCCTCGTCATCCATTCCAAACATTGAGGGGAATATTGTTAGGTGCAAAACATTCCATTGAGGGTGACTTGAAGGCATAAAATATTCCATTTCCAACTGAAGATTCCTCTAGTGCTTAGAGCCACCCCTTTATATGCATGTTATATCTTTTGAGGGAGTGTGTACAAAAATGTAATCATAGTGAGTTGATTGTTGCGCATTATACATAGAAATTCTTTTATCTTTTATTATTTGTATTCTCTAAATAAATGATTACTATGTTTGGCACCGAAAATTCATCTTGTTGATTGTGATTGTTCTTATTCTACTTATGCCAAATCCAAATTTTTCGATCTTACACAACTGTATCGGTTCATTATTTATAATTATATACTTAAAATATGAAAAATTATTATGTTATAGTTGCAACAATAAAATAAAACATTGAAAATATTATATTATTGTTATAAACTTTATATTTTATAAATGAAATTTGATTAAATATACTATATTAGGAATTATTAATTAGTAAAGAAATAAAAAATACTTAAAACTAAATTATAATTAAAGGGGTAAAATGATATATGATTAAATTAAAAATATATATATATATATATATATATATATATATATATATATTATATAAACAATGAAATTATATTGACAAGATTTAATATATATTCAATGATAAAAAAGAATTAATACAATAATATCAAGTGGTCAATAAAACAAATTCAAGTAAAAAACTATAAAAAAAAAATCCTACCATTAGAAATTCTCTTAAAACTAACATTTTTCTTACATGAGCAACATCAAATTAGTAGAACCTTCTTTTTTGTATAAATTTGAATTAAATACTTATGAAATAGTTCAACTATTTACTAATCAAATAACCTTGGTTAGAAACACTTGAATAATGTTTGCCAGCTACTATATATGGACAATCTTGACTTAAGCTAGTCAAACCCTCCTTTACGAATTATAAACCGTTATTGACCATGCACGTCTCTCTTCAATTACAACCACATCAACTTAGCAGTCGGTCCACACTGTAGCGTCCAAGAAGGGTTGAGCCACATTCATAGAAATTGTCCCAGCCACTTGACTAACAAAAACCAAGAATTCTGAACATATCTGAATGTATTTTTTTAAAATAATTAATCTTGGTTTTCTCCCAATGTTGGTTCTTCTTGCTTTAGTTCTTACATCAGTAATGGTTCATGCCCAGAATGATCAATCAGGTACTAACTAAACCATGCATATTTTCTCTTAAATGCATGCTAACTCTCGTAATCAACCACTTCCCATTTCAGGCATCATAAGCATCGACTGTGGGATAACAAAAGGCTCAACATACACCGATAATTCAACTGGCATAAACTACGTATCAGATGCTGAATTCATAGATAGTGGCGAAATATATAACATATCGTCTGCTTCTGATAAACAGCTTAGCACACTTACAAGTTTTCCCAACAACACCAGAAACTGTTACACCCTAAGACCAAAATATGGAAAGGGTAACAGGTTTCTGATAAGGGCAAGCTTCATGTATGGGAACTATGACTCGAAGAACCATCTTCCAGAATTCGATGTCTATCTTGGACCTGATTACTGGGACACCATGAGATTTAATTCGTCATCTCAACCAAGAACCATGGAGATTATACATGTCTTGTTATCAGATTTCATGCATGTTTGTATTGTAAATACAAATGGAGGAACGCCTTTCATATCAGCCATCGAAGTAAGGCCTCTGGCAAATCATATGTACAACCAAACTGATGCCGGATCTTTATACGCTGCTACACGTGAAATTTCGGATCAAAATCTACAACAGTCAGGTTAAAATTTCATATCTAAATTAATCATCTTTACTAATCTTGTTACTAGAAAATGATATATCGAAGAATTATTGAGACAATGGCAAAAAGAAAAGCTATGAATGGGCGGGAGCTCCTGACAAACTAACTTTGGCCCACCCGTTGCCCCCAATTTTCTTTGTTTTGACCTTACAATTTTATGTTTCCCCAAATTTTTTGTTTATTTATTTATTTAAATTATTCTTCTTATATCGTAAAATCAGGCGATTTCATGATTTTCTTACATCATGTGATAGATTAGGCACTTACTTTCAGTTTAATTTGATTTTTGAAAATATGAAAATGTATGTTAAATTTAGATTCACCCTGCATAAATGGTTCAATGTTGCTGTTAATCGGGTCAACCCGATCGAGTTTCGGGTTAGTCGGGTTTTTTTATAAAATTATTTCACCTGAAACCCGACCCTATTAAGGTACAGTTTATTCAGGTTTACAGGTCGGGTTAGTCGGGTTAATCGGGTTGCAGTAATCGGGTTGCAGTGTAAGATAGAAATATTGTGTTATATTTATAATAAGGTTTATTTTCAGAAGCTTAAATTAGCAAGTGTTAAATCCAAAAAACTTTGAATGCATATGGTTTATTTTTTCTTGTTTGTACGGTACAAGTAAAAAGCATTATGGGTTTGATTTGAGGCTATGTATTTTTTATTTTAGGTTGAACAAATTACTAAAATCGTCCTTATGGTTTTGTTAAATTTCATGTATGGTCGCTACCTTTATTTTTGCACTTGGACCGTCGCTAACTTTTAATTTTGTTACGGTTTTGGTCCCTGCCCGCTAGGAAATGACTATAATACCCTTTATATATGTTTTTCGATTAATTTATTTTTTTTCTTAATTATGTTACTATTAAAATATTAATAAGTCCCACGTCCAGCTCTTTATCTCTCTCTCTCTCAGATATATCGCTGATGTACTGCATCACTTTCTTTTCATCGATTTTCCGATGAGCCCCTACAATCTCCTTCACCTACCTTCCCTTATCCCGTCCATACCTCCCTTCTCAGCCAAAATCCGTTCACTGCCACTTAACCTAAAGTCGCCAACTAAACCACAATCCCATTCACTGTCAACCACCACCACTGCCAACCACCCACCACCAACAACCCATAAAAAGTCATTCTCCGCATCAACAACACCACCTATGCCATCGACACTAATTTCTGATTAAACATAGAAAAAACACAAACCCTAAATCTAATTTCATTTCTTTACCGAGTAGAAATAGAATTGGGGAAAATCCGTGGTTTTATACAAACTGCAATTAGGATTAATGTATTGATGATGAAATGGGTTGTGAGGTCAACGTGACGATGGTGTGAGGTGATCGATGTTCCAACCACCAAATCGTTCTGTTCTTGGAGTCGACGTGGTGGGATGAGGATAGGAAGAAGACAACATGCCACTCGCCGGTCTTGACTGCTTGTATTAGATTCGGGCCTTGGATCTGCACCATGCTCTGACGACGATCCGACCTCTCCGGTCTTCTGCACCGCCAAACGAAGACGATGACATGAGATGCTAGCAGCAGCAGCGTGGTCAGTGAGATGGTTGCATCAATGGTGTGGTTTGTAAGATTTTTGCATCGATGAGTTAGGGATAAAGGGTTGAGAGGGTGAGGATTGTCGGTGGAGGTTTCTGACAAGAGGAGGGAAACGGAGTAGTTAATGAGGGGTCGATGGCTCCAAATTTTTGTGAAGGAGAAAATTGAGGTAAACAGAGGCAATGTGAAGGAGAAAAGGTTGGGTGGGACCGAGCATATAATTAAACAATTTCTTTTTAATAACTTATGAATAAAGAAAATAATTAAAATAATCAATAAGGGTATTTTGGTTATTTTAAGACGGTCAGGGACCAAAAACAAAAACTTATCAAATCAATGGGACGGTCCGAAAAAACATTAGGGACCAAATACAAAATTTTACCAAAACCACAGGGACGATTTCAGTAATTTGTTCTTTTAGGCCACATAAACTACTATTACATAGTATTTTAGTATACTACATATTAATTTCCAATTGTACATAACAATATTTAATTCTACAATTCTATTACATCTTATTTTCCTCTTTTTTAGGCCACATAATGTACAGAAATAGAAGACGTGAGGTGGAACGAAATACGTAAATATTTTAATATACCTTTATTTGGGTTAATCGGATTAACCCGAAACCCGACTTTTATAAAACAAATCAACCCTAAACCCGACCCTAACAATAGTTCGGGTTTGTCGGGTTAACCCGAATAACGCAATTAAGAATTGTGACCCTATTAAACCCGACCTGAAATTCCTTATTCTGGTTAGGGTCGGATTGGGTTAATCGGGTTTGGGTTTTTTTGACACCCATATTCACAATGTATTGAATCAATAGAGTTCAATGGATTGTCACATCACTTTTTTAAAATTTATACAATTCTATCAATTTTTTTGTACAATGCATTGAACTATATAAAGTTCAATAGAAAATTATAAAAGCTTATTTATAGTATATATTTAAGAGTTAAAAACTCTACTTTTTCCATTCGAAGATTTCAATGTCCATTGAACTGCAAATCCATTGAATACCAATGTGACATCTTATTATGGTAGAGTTTAATCCATTGAATGTCAAATAGATTTGCCACCTCATTCATCTCTTCCATTAAACTCACTATTGTGGATGCTCTAAGCCATTGGGATCAACTTGGATTTAATAAAATTTGAGTGGAACCCATGACACCTTTGTGTTTGTTACTTCTATTTTGCATCAAACTTTACTAACTTCAGTATTCTTGTTTCTTGAAATAGGTATAAAGCTGACAAGTATGATCGACTATGGGGTCCAAGTGAGCCTACGACACCTGATTATATTTCCATAAACACTTCACATAATGTTTCTGCAGGGTCATCCCCAAACTTAGAACTACCATTTGATGTCATGGGTAGTGCTGTCACGCCAAAAAACCTGAGTCTTTCATTTGACATCGAGTGGGATCCTGTTAATACAAGCGATACATTTTTCATTTACATGCACTTTGCTGAGATTGAGCAACTAAAAAGAAACCAAACTAGAGAATTCATCATTTATCTAAATGGGAAGCTATGGCATGGACCTCTGAATCCACTAAATCACACAACAACCACTATTCCTAGCAGTCAACCGGAGGCAATAGCATCAAGGTATACACTCACAATAAATAAAACTAGAAATTCAACCCTTCCTCCAATCATCAATGCTCTCGAGCTTTATGTGTTAAAGAAACTCCCACAAAAGCAAACTGAGGATCAAGATGGTAAGCATATGATTTGTCTCTTGAGTTAGAATAAAGTACGTTTATATTAGTAATTAGAATTTACAATCAAGACTATGATTTGACATGTCTTAACTCTATAATGGATATTAGCTTCTGCAATATGGAGTATCAAGTCTGTATATGGTGTAAAAAGACACTGGCAAGGAGATCCATGTGCTCCACGGGAATCTATTTGGATTGGTCTTGACTGCAGCTACAATGATGCTGATTTGCCTCGGATCATATTCTTGTATGTATGCAGTTTCAATAACATCGAAAGTTAAAGATTTTTGTCCTTCTTGAAATAATTTATTCACTGCTTACTAAATACTCTGAATCAGAAACTTGTCTACTAGTGGATTGAGTGGAGAAATACATCCTGGATTAGCTAATCTCATAATGATAGAAACCTTGTAAGTCAAACACTTTTAGAAGGATATATAGAACTAAAGTATATGCAAAATTTAGCTTCTATAACTGTATGTGCCATTTTCACCATTCCTATTTCAGGGATTTGTCCAACAATAACTTAACAGGACCTGTGCCTGATTTTCTGTCTAAATTGAATTCTCTGAAAGTCCTGTAAGTTACCTCCAACTTGAACTAGCATCAGATATCTTGTTGCATGGAATAATAGATTAATCTTAGTTACGATTTATTATAGCAATTTAAAAGGAAACAATTTCAGTGGACCCATTCCAAAAGAGCTTTTAGCAAAGGCAAAGAAAGGATCATTGCGTTTGAGGTTAATTTCTACTGATTTCCTGAATTTAAATACTATTATTTACTTCAGAATGTAACATTCGTTCCCCAAAATCAGTATTGATGATGCAGATTCTTGTGTCACGAAGCATTGCGAAAATAATGATAAAAAAATCCTTGTTCCCAGTAATAGCAACGGTTGCTTGCATCTTTATGATTATGACAGCTCTCGCCACCATATGGATGATAAAAAAACTAAAAGCACATGGTAAGAAACCCTGTAATTGCATTCGATAACTTTGAACAAAATATTTTTTCAAAACTCACACATGCACGAATCAAGCACGTGTTTTAGTTATGAAAGTTCAGTAATTAAAATATTGCATACAGAAAAAAGGAAAACAAGCAAGGGATTGGAAATAAAAAAACAGAAGTACACATACTCAGAGATAAAGAGTATCACTGACAACTTCAAAGTTGTTATTGGGAAAGGAGGATTTGGAGAAGTTTACCATGGACATATAGGTGATGCCCAAGTTGCTGTCAAGATGCTTTCTGCATCATCTCAACAAGGGGACAAAGAATTTCAGGCCGAGGTAATATAACAATTTCTCTCATATCTTATTCTGAATTGAAACATTGATCATATGCTTAAAATCAGCAACAAAAAAGTTGTGTTTAGTGAAAATTGCATGGGTAATCTAACAATTTCTCTCATATGTAGGCTTATCTTCTCTTGAGTGTTCATCATAGAAATTTAACTTCGCTCGTTGGCTACTGCATTGAAGGCAAGCACAAGGGAATCATCTACGAGTACATGGCTAATGGGAACTTACAAACGCATCTATTTGGTATTTGTCATCATTAACATTTCGTCTATGCATATCTTCTTAATACATCACTTTACAAAACTATGTATTTCCAAGTTCATTGTGAATGAATCTATTACAAACACGTAAGAACAAGTACTAATATTAAAAAATCAAATGAGCAGATACGAGTTCAAAGGTCTTGAATTGGGAAGAAAGACTACAAATAGCGTGTGATGCAGCAAAGGGTCAGTAAGCAAATTATTTCAAATCGACTTACACATAATTTTGGCTTTGATATACGATCATCAAGATTCTTAATCATATGGGGTTATACTTTTTAGGTCTAGAGTACTTGCATCATGGATGCAAGCCACCTATAGTCCATAGAGATGTGAAGTGTAACAACATCTTACTGAATGAAAAGTTTCAGGCAAAACTAGCAGACTTTGGGTTGTGCAGAGCTTTTCCAACAGAAGCTGCTACACATATTTCAACAGAAGTTGCTGGCACTCCTGGGTACCTTGACCCTGAGTAAGTTTTCTAAATCTTAAAGCTTATATTTATGGTGTTAATAATTCGGAAAAAGGATGTCATTTATGTTATGTTTGCATCTTTTGGTTGAATGAAATAAGAATTCTGGGTTGCAGGTATTACTTGTCATACAGGTTGACTGAGAAAAGTGACCTTTATAGCTTTGGGGTTGTGCTTCTAGTGATAATTACAGGTCAACCAGCAATAACTAGATACGAGAATGACAACATACACATAAGCCGATGGGTTAAATTACAGCTTGCAGAAGGGGATGTGAAAAGCGTGGTTGATCCTAAGATACTAGAGGATTTTGATGATGATTCAGCATTGAAGGCAGTAGAACTGGCAATGGAATGTGTTGCAGACACACCCAACAGAAGACCCACCATGAATGAAGTGGTGATGGGGTTAAATGAATGTTTGGTGGCAGAAAGAGCTCGCCTGGAAACCAAAGTACTAGATAGTTCAACTGAAATCGTATCTGTTGATCTCGAGGATGCAAGGTGATCAAAACCCAAGATAATGAATTAAAATATATAACCACATTCTTTATTTGTTTCTTGGGCTTCTAGGTTCTAAATTAAGTATCCTTATAGAATGAGCGATATGACTGCACAAGCTTTAGCTCCTTTTACTTGAGTTGCTGTGCTCAATAAGTTGAAATAAACTTAAACAATTGGAATTCTTGAGGCCTTGAAATCAATATGTTCATGAGGTTGGTGTGTGTTTCTAAGATATTCTGGGAACCTTTTGATTTGTTTTCATGTTAGCATTCCCATAAATGAAATCGTTAACTTATAAATCTATATGCAATTAATTTGATTTTGTGATAAGACACGAATCATTATGGTATAACAGCCTTTGAAACCATAGCAAGCATATTGTAAAAAAAAAAAAAAAAAAAAAAAAAAAAAAAAAAGAAAAAAAGATGAACACACTCTCAGATCTCTACAACATGAATATCTCATTTGTTCATGAACTAGATCGTTTTACATCAACACAATTAAACCTCACTGCATAATCTTATTCACCAAAGGTGTTCTTCCTCTTTAAAATCAAGGATTCAAGTCCGGTCGTGGACATAGGTGGAATTAAATGTTAGTTTTGGATTAATTTATATATTTATATTTTCCGGTTAAAAAAAACAAAACAAAACATAATATTATTCTACTCTCTTAACTGTAACAAAACACCCAAAAACACTTAAGAACATCATTACAAACAAACTTGTATGACACAAAGATTGAAAAACTAGATGAACCCATTGAAAACCAAGATGAATCCCTAAACAAACTTAGTGATTGATTGAAGAGAAACGAGAGAGAAATATGTTGTACTAAATGACCCATCTTCACACCAACTTAAGATATATATAGTCGGGTCACCATTTACCCATGGATACAAAAGATCCACGTGCCCCTCAACTCCAAAATTCGTCCGGAAAATATTACTAAAGTAACCCTGATAAAGTTACAGCATACATAAAGATACAAACAAGAGATATAATAAAAATGTTTAGTTTGTAAGATGACTTAACCAAATATTTCGACAACACCTTCAAACTTAATATGTAACACCCGGAAACCAGAAGGCCAATTAAGGAAAGAAAACCTCCAATCAAGAAGGCAACTCGTCGAGTTCATGGGTGAGAAATCGACGAGTATGAATGATTGGCACGTGGGAGTTTAAGAACCAACTCGACGAGTTGGGGAGGACCAACTCGACGAGTTGGACTGGGTTTGGGAAACCCTAAATCTGGGATTTGCACCCTATTTAAACAACTTAACTCTAGCCTCTAGGGTTTTGGCCTCATTTCCAGCCTCCAAGTCTAAAACCCTAAATGCAGAAACCCTAATGCATTTGTGAGTTTGTGAGCCATTTTTGAGTGAAGTTTTGAGTGTGTTAAAGCTTGTGAAGGAAGGAGAAGCTTGGGGATTCAAGAAGAAACTAGTAGATCCAGAGACTCCATCTTATTCTCATCATTTTCTGCTAAGCAAGTCTCGAACTTGCTTAGTAACTTCTTAGATCTCCGTATTATCATTTTAGTGGGTTTTTGGTCCAACAAGCTTGATCTTTGGGAAATGGACGTCCCAAGTAGCTACACCATTAGATCTGGAACCATGAAGGGCTTTCATGGCCTAAAGGTGCAAAATTTATGGCAATTGAGGCCCCATGGCTTTCATTTTGGCCTTTTAAGCTCCAAAAGGCCATGCATGGAGAGAAAGGTGGAAGCTTTACGTGTTCATGTAGTGCCTAGGGTTCAGATCTCATTTTTTATGCTTTAGCTTGGAGTATTGATGCCTTGTAGACCAAGATCTAGGTCCTAAAGATTTTGGGTTTGAGCTTAACCCATTATGAAAGGATATTAACGGGTAAAGTTGAAAACTTTACCCTTAGAAGGACATTTTCAGTGTACATGTGAAGTATGAAGCACAAACCTGAAGAATAGGGGCTTAATCCATTAAGAGGAAGCAACAGACTGAAGAACTCGGCGAGTCCATAAGGGGGGATTCAACGAGTTTAGTCGATTTGTCCCGGTCCTGTAGAGGGTAGAGCTCGACGAGTCTGAGGAGGGACTCGACGAGTTGATTCGTTTTATCACGACTACGAGTAGAAAGGGATCTCGGCGAGTCAGGGGGATAACTCGACGAGTTGAGTCAACTCGGAGCATTGACTTTGACTCGACTTGGATGTTAACTTTGACCTTGACTTGACCTTGTCTAAGGTTGACCCTGGAGGGTTATGAAGTATGTAATGGGTTCTAAAGGGTTGTTCCATGTAGGGGTTGGGCCCAATTTGGAAAATTGGGCCATTAATGGACTTTTATGGATGGGCCTTAGTTATGGATCATGTTGGGCCAGGGGTAAATGGTCATGTTACCCCAATTTTGGACCATGGTTCATGGTTTATAATTCAGTTGCTAATTGGGTATTGTAATGGAAATTGTTCGTTTGGGAAACAGTCAGGGCAGCAGCTAGGGAGTTCGGGCAGCGAGCTTCAGCATTCGAGGTGAATCTCCTCACTGTTTGTATGGGTCGAAGGCACTAATGCCGACCCATTTGGTTTATGTATGGTAGGAAGACCCGGGGGTTAGCCCTAGGCATTATGTATGGAAGACCAGGAGGCGGCTCCTGGCACACTGTATGCTATTATGTATGGTAGGAAGACCCGGGGGTTAGCCTTAGGCAATATGTACGAAAGACCAGGAGGTGGCTCCTGTCACACTGTATACTAAGTAGCCAAGTAGAATAGATTGTATGCTAGTTGTCTCTGTGATTGCTTGCATGGAAGAACCGGAGGTGGCTCCTTGCACTTATCTATAAGACCCAGAGGGTGGCCCCAGGCTTGGCAAGAAAGACCATGTGGCGGCCCGTGGCATAACGGAAAGAATATGTGCGGCAAATAGCATCTTATATGATTATGATTCATATGTATGGCTCATGACTATGTATGGCATGTATGGATCAGTCGTTATGTATGGTATGTGGTATTTGGGGAACTCACTAAGCTTCGTGCTTACGGTTTTCAGTTTTGGTTTCAGTACCTCTAGTTTTCAAGTAAGGGAGCTCGGGACGATCGCAGCGCATATACCCATGTTTTTCCGCAATGTGTGATTTTCGGGAATGAACTCTGATAAATGTTATATTTGAAATGTTTTTCTATGTGTGAACAAAGTTACAATTGGGTTTTAGTTATATTAAAAATGAATTTTTTGGTCCTGAATTTTTGGATGTTACAAGTTGGTATCATAGCCTTGGTTTAAGGGATTCAGACATACTTTCGGGTGTGTCTGAACTCAAACTGAGGACTTGGTATGAAAATTTTCAAAAGAAAATCATTTTTATAAAAAGAATTTCTAAGCAAAGAAATGGATGTGATGCGTGCAATTGACCGAGCTCAAGTAAGTGGTTCCCAAAATACCAATACATGTTTGTTATGTGATATGATATGATTATGTGATTCGCATGCTAGATTAGAGCTAAGGATATAGGAGAGATGCCTTTGTATGCTTATATGAGCTTGTAGATTTGCATGTTAGAACTGATCAGCCAGTGGTAGGATGGCATGTTTAGGTTATGCCTGATTCTATGAGCCTTCGAATTGCATGCTAGTACAAATTCCTGGTTAGAGGATAGAAGGGTTTGAATGGATTATGTTAGTTTTTCCATTGTCCGAAATGCTGCTTGCTTTGTGCTTTGTGGGACTCTTAGCAATGTGAGTTGGCTACTAAGTGAATATGCTAAGTCACATGTGGCACATGCTGTATAATCTCAGAGTGATGGATTTGACCCTATTGCGCAGCTCTCGTCTGAGTCTAACCGTTATAGGGTTGAGTGTTTTACTCGAAAGATTATCTTATCACTGTTGCATATGGCTATATTCAGGAGGTAGCTAGTTGACATTAATGGGAATCCTTCAGCAGCTGAGGGCTGGGTGGGTTCGGGAAGCTAGGAAAGCCTAGGATATGCTGCAGTGGTTTGAAGAAGTGACTTAGAGGATTCGGGAGGATTGCTGAGGAAAGTATGGATAGGTGTGGAAGGTACTATTGGGCCCATACTAATGAAAGCAAGGGTCCATACTTGAATCGGTGAGAGTCTTGGAGAATCTAAGAAGCTTATGGGAGGTGGATTCTTGAGTATGTTCTGATTATTGGTTTGTCGCTTTTCAGTTGGGAGATGAGCTCGCAGGGAAATGGTTCAGGTTCGGGTTCCGGCTCAGGTGCAGGTGCTGAGCCAATTAGTGAGCAGTTGCAGGAGTTCATCTCATCTGAGATTTTCTCACGGTGTTATAGAGATACTGGATGAGCTCTTGGGCGCGTTTCGTGCGGAGGTTATGGCTATCATTGAAGCTCGCACACTGACTTTCTGGGAGTTCCGTTCTTGTGGAGCTCTTGCGTACCATGGGGAAAGGGACCCCATTATCAGTAGGAGGTGGTTAGCATATATGGCTAACGCGTTCAGGATGATTTTCTACCCCGAGGAGGTGAAGGTCCGATATGCTTCCTGCATGTTGAAGGATCGGGCACGTGATTGGTGGGAGGAGATCGGTAGTGAGTTGGGTAATGATGTGGTTGATGCTATGTCATGGGATGACTTCTCGACCAGGTTCCGAGCTGAGTTTGAGGTGCAACAGTTAGCACTAAAATTCCTGGATCTCTGCCAGACTACTGAGACCGTGGCAGAGATCACTGCCAAATTCCAGGAAGAGGCCCAAGACTTCAGATCAGCGATTGATAAGCCAGCAGAGCCGAAGTCAGTGCAGCACGTACGGGAAACTGCACAAGGGAGTTTGTCGTTCCAGGGGTTTAGGCTGCTACAAGTGTGGCAGTGTCGGTTATGTCAGCATGGATTGCTCTCAGGGGGGAAGTCCATTGTGTTTTCACTGCGATCAGGTGGGCTACAAGAAGGCCTCCTGCCCGACGATGAGGGTAGGAGCAGGGAGTATATCTGTCCCGACTACTTTTAGGATTACATATGGACGAGAGGGTAGGGCAAGAGCCCCAGCGGAGAGGAGTAGGGCGTTGCAGTGATAGACAAGGGAGATCAGGATTCGAGCAGCCCGTGTTGCAGGTGTGTATCGTTTGCTCTGTTCGG